AGAATATATAATCGAGATATTTTATCTCTGTCATAGTTTGATGTTTTTTTTTTTTTTTCGTTTGGAATGATAGACTTGCAATGAAACTTTAGTCGTTTTGTCCACCACTTCTTTCTTGAATACTAGATGGTATTCAAGGTAATATATGTTTTATACTTTTTCTATTGTTGTAGTACAAAGAGTTAATACCCACCACTGAGGTTTGATCCTGTGACATTTTTTCAAGAAGAGTCACAGATGTGCATGTCATCCGAGCACAAAGTGCTTGGCAAGAAATAACTAAGTTACTTCAATTGATTAAATCACTTATTGACTTAGTCATATTCTTGCACCACAATTACTTTTTTTTTTTTTTTTATTACAACTTGCACCACAATTACTTAATTAATAATATGTTATTCTATATTGGAAATTCTTACCGGATTGAATAATTAAAGTTGGAAACTAAAGTGGAGAATTAGGATCTTCATTCTCTCACAACACTTTTGCTTCACAGAATGAATGTTGAGGTAATAAGAATGTTATTCCATAAGGAATGGAATAGGCAAGGAATAGAATAGGAATTATATTCTATTGTTTGGTTTGCGGAATGAATAGACTTTAGAAATTATATTACAGCGTTTGGTTGATTTAAGGAATATAAATGAAATATGTTTTAAAAGGCATAAATACCTAAAAATATGTGGTGGTGGCAATGGTGGCGGCGGCGGCGACGGTGGTGGTGGTGGTGGCAGTGGCGTTGGCGACGGCGGCAATGGTGGTGGTGGTGGTGGTGGTGGCGGCGGCGGTTGTGGCGGTGGCGGTAAAGCTGCTGGGGTGGTGGTGCTGGTGGCGATTGCGTTGGTGGGGTTGTGGTGGCGGAGGTGGTGGTGGCGGCGGCAACGGTGGTGGTGGTGATGGTGGTGGCGGTGGTGGCGGCGGAGGCGGTGGCAATGGTGGTGGTGGTGACGGTGGTGAAATAGGAAATAAATTTAATTGGAGGTAAAATACGAAATAAAAACTTTAGGTTATTCCTGAGAGCTCAGGAATAGCTTAATACCATGGGGCCAGGAATCTCTTTTCCCCTTGCCAGGGAAATAGGTCATTATCGAGAACAATGTTCCTGAGAATACAAGTGATTACCAAACAGAGGAATATGCCTATTACTGTGAATGCTATGCCATTTCAGGCCTATCCGTGAACCAAACAGCCCATCAATGGAGAACAAAATTAGAGTGTTGGGAAAGAAAAATTAGTAATGACAATCATCCACCATTTCCCATTTTAAGAACATGATTAGATGTTTTTCCAACTTCAAAAAGAAAATTGATTTTTTTTTTTTTTGGATATTTTAGTTTGAAAATATTGGGACAACCCCAATCAGGTTGGTTAGACAACTAACTTGGTTATTACAAAGATTCAAAATTCAACTCCCTGTAAGAACTACATCTTTATGACCTGAGCCTACCTTAACACTTTTCTTATTGACAAAAGTCTTGATATGTAAAAATTTAAAAAAAATTTAAGCTTTAAAATTTCACCAAAATTTTATGCAAAATCCAAAATTTCACCAATAGGTTTCCTCCATCCACATTACAGCAACTTACAACCCATTAAGTTGCCACTAGAATATTTCATTTCCAGTAGTCACATAATCATCATTCACTGGTATGAACATTTGCTTGAGGAATTTGGTCCCTGAATGAATGGCTAAAGATTCAGTACTTTTTGACCCATGGGAGAGTGGAATCCTATATATGATTATGAATATTTATGATGTAGCTAGCCTAGCTTTAGTGTTGATTGTTTTGGGATTGTCAAGATGGCAACTTAATTTTTTTATATCAATTGTTAGGGTGAAACACTTACTACTACGCAAAAAGTTATAGCTAATAACGAATTGAATAATTTATTTTAATATACTTATGTAGTAGCCAACACCACATTTAAACACATTATCATCGTATATAGTACATTAGATTTTTATTTTTTATGTTTTACTGGCAACCACCATATATACTATATTATAATTAAAAAAAATAAATTCAAATAGATGTATATACGGTAGCTATACACCTTACGGTCCTATATACTAAATTCGATTTTTATTTTATTTTTTAAATATTAATGTATATATGGCAATTATACTGGGAACCGCCATATTAGGGATGATAATAGACCCGGCCAAACAAAAATTTAAAAAATTAGGTCTGGGCCTGCTAAAGAAATTTAAGGTCTGAGTTTAGGCCTGAGCTTATATGTAGACTTTTTATAAGGTTCAAATCTGAGCCTACAATTAGCTTGACCCCGATTTAAAAGCCTATTTATTAATATGTAGGCTATTATTTTTTTTAATATACCTAATACTCGTTGTGACTCTGAAAAAAATTAGTGACAACCAGTGATCGAGAAAGAAGATTTACAAATTTAACTGGACAACGATCAAGAATTGTTGTCTCGTGGTCGCAGAGGAGATAGTGAGATTAGAGAGATAGATTTACAGAATTAGTATTTAGAATTGAGATTTTGCGGGGGTTAGGGTTTGGTAAATGGTATATATACTTAGGGTTATATATATATATATATATATATATATATATATATATATATATATATATATTAGAGATCATATGAGAACCAACATTATTCCATGATGAGTCTATGATAACCAATCACATCCATTAAAAAAAAAAAAAACAGATCTATGGATAATATTAATTGGAAGATTAAAAATGTGCGTGTGCATATTAAGCATTATGATGTGTGCATATTTAGCATGTTTCTATGTTGCACAAAACACATACTTAATATGCACACAGACCTAATAATTAAGTAATAATCAATTCAATAAAGTTTTAACAAGTTTAAATTTTATCTATTATACTAACTTCATAAATTGATTTTAAATTTGTAAATCTTTGGTACTTAAAATTATACAGAAGATACAGAAGAAGAAATTGATTATATCAGAAATTTATAGTGCAAAAGATTTTTGATTTTTGGATAACATCAACATGTTATTAAATTGTTGTTATTTAGTTATTAATATTTGTGACATATTTTATTTGATAGTTGTGATTAATTACATATTGTTTGTATTCTTTGTGATTATTAGTGTATATGTTTTAAGGTAATTATTTTGTAAGTTGAATTATATTTTTGTGCAATTGGACATGTCAATAAGAGATTTTTACATACACGGCTGAGTTGAAGGCGGGGGGGGGGGGGGGGGGGGGGGGGGGGGGGGGGGGGGGGAAGCCGGGGCCCGCGTCAGGTGGGTGAGCCGTGGCTTGTTCCGTTGGACGGAAGGGGAGGGAGGTAAGGGGTGTGGACGGGAAGGTGGTGGTGGCGGGTTCGGGTGGAGGAGGGGTGGTGGTGGCGGGTTCGGAAGGAGGGAGGGAAGGAGAGGGGTCAGGGGTGGTGGCAGTTTCAAAAAGGAGGAGGGGGCTGACAGTGATGTGATAATGTCAGAGGTGCTTAAAAACGGGTTTGCGGCGGGTCCTGTGGTTCAGGCCCGGCCTTCATCATGAGTACGATAAGCTGGAACTGCCGTGACTTGGACAATCCACGGACAGTTCGAGAAATAGTGGACCTTGTGTCCCGAAAGAAGCCCGAATTCGTCTACTTTATGGAAACAAAGGTAGGACGAATACTTGCTGAGAGGTTACGAATAAAGATTGGTTTTGAAGGCTTGTTCTATGTTGACAGTGTAGGTGTGGCAGGTGGCTTGGCATTGTTATGGAGGAAGAATAACACTGCTAGACTGTTGATTTTCTCGAAGAACCATGTGGATATTGAGGTAGCTATAAGGGAGGAAGTATGGCGTATGACGTGCTTTTATGGTTTTCCACAGAGGAATAAGAGGAGGGAATCCTGGCAAGTGTTGAGTGGTTTGAAGGGTAGGTCTACGTTGCCTTGGGTAGTACTGGGGGATTTCAATGATCTTCTATACCAGCAGGAGAAGAGAGGGGGGAATCCACATCCGGATAGCCTTTTGTGAGGCTTCGGGGAAACATTGGATAACTGTGGCCTAATCCAATTACCGATGAGAGGACATTAGTTTACATGGGAGAAGGGTAAAGGTACGGATAGATGGATAGAGGAGAGATTGGATACGGTGCTTGTAACGGCACCATGGACTGATATGCATGGGGGGGGCCTGGGTTGAGAATATCCAAACTCGCAACTCAGATCACTCGACGCTCTTTCTAAACATTAATATAACAGTGCGCGGACAAGGGGGACCGAGGGGTTTTCGTTTCGAGATGGCCTGGGTTCATGATGATGGTTGCAGGGAGGTGGTTGAGACTGCCTGGCAGGATGGAAGGGATAGGGGTTTGCTGAATTGTCAGCAATATTGTGGTGGTAGGCTTATGCGGTGGGGTGGGAAGCACAAGAATCAATTTGGTGACCGTATAAAGTGTTTGAGAAAGGAACAGGATGCATTACGACACCGGAGGGATTCAGCTGCTTTGGCTGAGTTTCGACGGATCGAAGTCATGCTGGGTCAGGTGGAGGTTCAGGAGGATGTGTTTTGGAGGCAGCGGGCTAAGCAGCACTGGCTAAGTGGTGCTGACGCCAACACAAAATTTTATCACAGGTATGCCTCTGCTCGTAAATGTAAGAATTATATTACTATATTAAAGGATGATGCTAGTGATTGGGTGGAGGGGAAATATGAAGAGGGTTGTTTTCGATTATTATGCGGATATTTTTGCCTCTTCTGACTCTGTGTGTGAGGATCCCATGTTTGATAAATTTTCTCCCGTGTGACTCATGAGCAGAATATTGCTTTATTACGTCCCTATGAATCTGATGAGGTTAGGAGTGCTTTATTTGCAATGTTTCCTGATAAGGCACCAGGGGCAGATGGAATGAACCCGGGCTTCTATCAGTAGTTTTCGAATATAGTTGGGGGGGGGGGGGGGATGTGTTTGCTTTTATTGTAGATTGCTTGAATTCTGGCGTCTTCCCTGAGGGTTTGAATGATACTAATGTGGTTTTAATCCCAAAAAAAGAATATGCCTGAGACTGTAGCTGACATGAGGCCAATTGCTCTAAGTAATGTGTTATATAGAATTATGGCAAAGTTGATAGCTAACAGGATGAAATCGCTTATGGGAGACATAATCTCAGAGTCCCAAAGTGCTTTTATTCCTGGAAGACTAATTACTGATAATATTCTTATAACTGCGGAGGTGGGGCATTATTTGAATAGGAAACAGTGTGGTATAACAGGCTGGGGGGCTTTAAAGTTAAATATGGCTAAAGCCTATGATCGAATGGAATGGCAATTCCTGCAATGAATGTTGGAGGTTATGGGGTTTGATGAACGCTGGATTAATCTAATCATGCATTGTGTTACTACAGTTCAATATAGTATTTTGGTGAATGGTGTTAACAGTGGCAGGTTAATACCAACCCGGGGTCTCAGACAGGGAGATCCACTTTCCCCATATTTATTTATTATTTGTGCAGAAGGTTTGTTTATGTTATTACAGAGAGCTCAGATGGCTGGCTCTATACATGGGTGCAGAGTGGCGCGGCCCCCCCCCCCCCCCCCCCCCCCCCCCCCCGGTATCACATCTATTTTTTGCAGATGATAGTCTGTTGTTCTTTAAAGCGAATACTCAGGAGGCAGGTGTGATAAAGGAGTGTCTGAAACGTTATGAGGAGTTATCTGGGCAAAAGGTAAATTATCATAAATCCAATATCTGTTTCAGTAAAAATACTAGGGAAGAGGACAGGGAAATGGTTGCCGAATGTTTGCAGGTGGATCAGGCGCCCAATTTTGGGAAGTACCTGTGGCTGCCTTCTTTTATTGGGAGGAATAAGAGAATGATGCTCTCCTATAATGAGGATAAGATTAAACAAAGGATTGGATCGTGGAACAAGAAATTGCTTTCACGGGCAGGTAAGGAGGTCCTATTGAAAAGTGTCGCGCAATCAATGCCAACCTTTTCAATGAGTGTTTTCTTATTGCCTGATACAGTTTGTTTGTCAATTCAGAGGACCATGAACAGTATTGGTCGGGGAGTGGTGGAGAAAGGGGATTCACTGGAAAACCTGTGATAAATTATGTGTCCCTAAGAAGTTTGGTGGTTTGGGATTTAAGGATCTCAAAAGCTTTAATTTGGCTATGCTGGGAAAACAAGCATGACGTTTTCTCACAAATCCCAGCTCCCTGGTTGCAAAGGTTTATAAAGCACGGTACTTTCCTGGTACATCTTTTATTAATGCCAAGATTGGAAATTGCCCAAGTTATGCCTAGAGGAGTATTATGGCTGCACATGATATGGTTGTTGCAGGGGTACGTAGACGGATTGGGGATGGTAAAACAACATTAATCTGGGGATATCCATGGTTGCCAGATGATCCTAGTCCTCTCGTTCAAACAGATATGCCTGAGGAACTCAGACATGCCAAAGTTGCAGGTTTAATTGATGGCCAGACTAATATGTGGGATCCCCATATCTTGTCAGATTTATTTAATACTGAGGATGTCAATCGTATACTCAGGATCCCTGTAAGTCCTGGTTAAGATGACTCATGGTATTGGCCTGGGAACCCTAATGGAATTTATACAGTAAAAAATGCCTACAGGAGTATTATGGGTAATTATGAGAATATGCCAGGAGGGTTTGATAGATGGACTAATATGTGGAAAATGAAGGTCTCCCCAAAATGGAAGACTTTTCTGTGGAGAGCAGTCTGTGATATCCTTCCTACCACTACTAATTTAATTATGAAGAAAGTGGATGTTGATCCTACATGCCAGATGTGTGGTTTAATGCATGAGAATGTTATGCATGCACTAGTTGTTTGTGACTATTCTAAACTTGCTTGGAATATTATAGGTTTACCTGTCACAAATATTGTTACAGATTCTTTCCCTGTCTGGCTAACGGCTGCACTTGCAATTTTGACAGAGGAACAGAGTGGTGTCTTGGTGGTGGTTCTATATCATTTATAGCGGAGCCGAAGCTCAGTCGTGTGGGAAAAAACACTCCCACACCCCGCCGGCCTATGGAGGAGGGCGATCGCAGCCATCAACTCGTACCGTCAAGCCAACCACCGCCCTCCGCTCTCAGTGCCGCACGAATCGGATTTAGGCATCCACGTCAGGCCAAGGTGTTATGTAGATGCTGGCTACCGGCACGCAACGGGGGAGGCAACCTACGGTATGGTGCTACTCTTGCCAGACGGACCATTTATGGCAGTGCGAAATGGTAGGCTGCCAACTTGTTTCTCACCATTTATGGCGGAAGCCTTAGCTTGTAAGGAGGCTTTATCCTGGTTGCTCGAGAGGAATATAATGGACGTGGATATACTTACCGATTGCTTGTAACTCCGGAATGCCATGCGCCAGGAATCAACAACTATAATGTCTTATGTTGGGGTCACAGTAGACCAATGCAGAACGTTGGTGGCTTCGTTTACTTATTGCTCATTAAGTTATGTTTCTGGACAGGTTAATTCACCTGCACATGTTTTAACTTCTTTAGCCTTTACTCAGGACCAGTTTATGTTATGAGATTCAATCCCTCCTGACTCTATTGCAGCTTTGATTCATTAATACAATCATTTATTGGTTGGCTTTCAAAACAAAAAAAAAAAAAAAACAAACAAAAAAAAAATAAAAAACAAAAAACAAAAAAAAACAAAAAAACAAAAAAAAAAAAAAAATCTCAAGGGAGGCATGAGATTTTAATTCCATGAAAATGAGGAAATTGCAATTCCTTCCAACCAAACTAAGGAATTTAGTGCCCTTTAGAATTAGGTGGGAATTAAGGGTGTGTTTGGTTCGCACATAGGAATAGGAATCGGAATCGGAATCGCAATGGGTATCAAATACTTGGTAATGGTAATGGATTTTGGTGAAAGTATTTAACATGTTTGGTAGTAGGGTGGAATGTGAATGGTTACTAAGAGTAGTGCTTGAGAATGAATAAGGGAATGAAACTCTTATTTTATTTGGATATGAGTTTTTCAATTGATGGGGTATTCATTCGAAACTCATAGGAATATTCTAAAAACCTATTAACCAAACAACAACAATCACTTTCATACTCATTCATATGGGCAAAACCCACCAACCAAATACACCATAAATGAGAATAAAATTTAAATTCTTTCTAACCAAACGCCCGGTTAATATTTTGAATTAATTTGAATTGGTGACCCACTCTTCCTCATCCGACAGTAGTAAAAATTCAATTAAATTCTAGATATGCAAAAATACACTATAAGGGGAGATTCAAAATAGAAAAGTGGTTACTAAGGCATTACAACACCAATTCAATTGAATTAATGATTTTTATTCAGTGGCGGATTTAGAAATTTTCTTCAGTGGGGACAAAAAATTAAAACTAGCGAGATATTTTTAAAAATGAAACACTTAAAGACCGAGTTATAAATATTGTTGACTAGAGATGAAAAATTAAAATACATCAAGATAAAAAAAATATTTAAAATAAAATATAAAACATAATTAATTAGATAAAATAGTTCGAATAATGAAAAACACATCATAAATCATTCATCTCACTATTAATATTAAAAAAGAGAAGAAGTCTCAATATTACAAATAAAAAATTCAATTAGTATTCTCACTATTAATATTAAAAAATGCCAAAAATAAAAAGTTCACTCATCTCACTATAAAATTCTATAGGATTCAAACCCTGGACCATGAAAGTGAGTTTACCATCTAAGCGAAACAAACTTTTAATTAAATTTTGGTATATATTATATATAATATCTCTCTCTCTCTCTCTCTCTCTCTCTCTCTCTCTCTCTATATATATATATATATATATATATATATATATATATATATATATATATATATATATATATATATATATATATATATTGTTAGTGATAATGAACCAAAAATCGATTTAATATCGTAAAATAATATTTATATATACACACACGAAGTATATAAAATATTATTCGATATATTATATCCGAAATATATATATATACACACAAATATATATATAAATCAGACCGCCATGGTTATATGCATGAATATCTACGGAAAAGATATATACATATCAACCAAATGGAATTTATAATACACAGATTATAATTCCAACCAAACTATAACATTATAGGAGGATTTTTGCTTAGAAGCATAATCCAAAAACGAAAGAAGGAAAGATTGGCTCGTGTTTGGATAAGGGTTTTTAGCGTGAGTCAAGAGACCACTCTTTCCTTAAAACCTTATTTGCCACCTCCCAAAAGTGCTTGGAGCGCCGTGGCCTAGGTTTCCTAGGATAAAACGCACTACGGTTTGACGTTTGAGCACCCAAACGAACGAACCCGGCGAACTAGAGCAAAGCCTTGAACACAGTTCGGCTTAAGAAAGGAGTAGAAGCAGAGTACGAGAAGCTGGAACTGCCGTGACTTGGACAATCCACGGACAGTTCGAGAAATAGTGGACCTTGTGTCCCGAAAGAAGCCCGAATTCGTCTACTTTATGGAAACAAAGGTAGGACGAATACTTGCTGAGAGGTTACGAATAAAGATTGGTTTTGAAGGCTTGTTCTATGTTGACAGTGTAGGTGTGGCAGGTGGCTTGGCATTGTTATGGAGGAAGAATAACACTGCTAGACTGTTGATTTTCTCGAAGAACCATGTGGATATTGAGGTAGCTATAAGGGAGGAAGTATGGCGTATGACGTGCTTTTATGGTTTTCCACAGAGGAATAGGAGGAGGGAATCCTGGCAAGTGTTGAGTGGTTTGAAGGGTAGGTCTACGCTGCCTTGGGTAGTACTGGGGGATTTCAATGATCTTCTATACCAGCAGGAGAAGAGAGGGGGGAATCCACATCCGGATAGCCTTTTGTGAGGCTTCGGGGAAACATTGGATAACTGTGGCCTAATCCAATTACCGATGAGAGGACATTAGTTTACATGGGAGAAGGGTAAAGGTACGGATAGATGGATAGAGGAGAGATTGGATACGGTGCTTGTAACGGCACCATGGACTGATATGCATGGGGGGGCCTGGGTTGAGAATATCCAAACTCGCAACTCAGATCACTCGACGCTCTTTCTAAACATTAATATAACAGTGCGCGGACAAGGGGGACCGAGGGGTTTTCGTTTCGAGATGGCCTGGGTTCATGATGATGGTTGCAGGGAGGTGGTTGAGACTGCCTGGCAGGATGGAAGGGATAGGGGTTTGCTGAATTGTCAGCAATATTGTGGTGGTAGGCTTATGCGGTGGGGTGGGAAGCACAAGAATCAATTTGGTGACCTTATAAAGTGTTTGAGAAAGGAACAGGATGCATTACGACACCGGAGGGATTCAGCTGATTTGGCTGAGTTTCGACGGATCGAAGTCATGCTGGGTCAGGTGGAGGTTCAGGAGGATGTGTTTTGGAGGCAGCGGGCTAAGCAGCACTGGCTAAGTGGTGCTGACGCCAACACAAAATTTTATCACAGGTATGCCTCTGCTCGTAAATGTAAGAATTATATTACTATATTAAAGGATGATGCTAGTGATTGGGTGGAGGGGGAAATATGAAAAGGGTTGTTTTCGATTATTATGCGGATATTTTTGCCTCTTCTGACTCTGTGTGTGAGGATCCCATGTTTGATAAATTTTCTCCCGTGTGACTCATGAGCAGAATATTGCTTTATTACGTCCCTATGAATCTGATGAGGTTAGGAGTGCTTTATTTGCAATGTTTCCTGATAAGGCACCAGGGGCAGATGGAATGAACCCGGGCTTCTATCAGTAGTTTTCGAATATAGTTGGGGGGGGGGCGGGGGGGGGGATGTGTTTGCTTTTATTGTAGATTGCTTGAATTCTGGCGTCTTCCCTGAGGGTTTGAATGATACTAATGTGGTTTTAATCCCAAAAAAAGAATATGCCTGAGACTGTAGCTGACATGAGGCCAATTGCTCTAAGTAATGTGTTATATAGAATTATGGCAAAGTTGATAGCTAACAGGATGAAATCGCTTATGGGAGACATAATCTCAGAGTCCCAAAGTGCTTTTATTCCTGGAAGACTAATTACTGATAATATTCTTATAACTGCGGAGGTGGGGCATTATTTGAATAGGAAACAGTGTGGTATAACAGGCTGGGGGGCTTTAAAGTTAAATATGGCTAAAGCCTATGATCGAATGGAATGGCAATTCCTGCAATGAATGTTGGAGGTTATGGGGTTTGATGAACGCTGGATTAATCTAATCATGCATTGTGTTACTACAGTTCAATATAGTATTTTGGTGAATGGTGTTAACAGTGGCAGGTTAATACCAACCCGGGGTCTCAGACAGGGAGATCCACTTTCCCCATATTTATTTATTATTTGTGCAGAAGGTTTGTTTATGTTATTACAGAGAGCTCAGATGGCTGGCTCTATACATGGGTGCAGAGTGGCGCGCCCCCCCCCCCCCCCCCCCCCCGGTATCACATCTATTTTTTGCAGATGATAGTCTGCTGTTCTTTAATGCGAATACTCAGGAGGCAGGTGTGATAAAGGAGTGTCTGAAACGTTATGAGGAGTTATCTGGGCAAAAGGTAAATTATCATAAATCCAATATCTGTTTCAGTAAAAATACTAGGGAAGAGGACAGGGAAATGGTTGCCGAATGTTTGCAGGTGGATCAGGCGCCCAATTTTGGGAAGTACCTGTGGCTGCCTTCTTTTATTGGGAGGAATAAGAGAATGATGCTCTCCTATAATGAGGATAAGATTAAACAAAGGATTGGATCGTGGAACAAGAAATTGCTTTCACGGGCAGGTAAGGAGGTCCTATTGAAAAGTGTCGCGCAATCAATGCCAACCTTTTCAATGAGTGTTTTCTTATTGCCTGATACAGTTTGTTTGTCAATTCAGAGGACCATGAACAGTATTGGTCGGGGAGTGGTGGAGAAAGGGGATTCACTGGAAAACCTGTGATAAATTATGTGTCCCTAAGAAGTTTGGTGGTTTGGGATTTAAGGATCTCAAAAGCTTTAATTTGGCTATGCTGGGAAAACAAGCATGACGTTTTCTCACAAATCCCAGCTCCCTGGTTGCAAAGGTTTATAAAGCACGGTACTTTCCTGGTACATCTTTTATTAATGCCAAGATTGGAAATTGCCCAAGTTATGCCTAGAGGAGTATTATGGCTGCACATGATATGGTTGTTGCAGGGGTACGTAGACGGATTGGGGATGGTAAAACAACATTAATCTGGGGATATCCATGGTTGCCAGATGATCCTAGTCCTCTCGTTCAAACAGATATGCCTGAGGAACTCAGACATGCCAAAGTTGCAGGTTTAATTGATGACCAGACTAATATGTGGGATCCCCATATCTTGTCAGATTTATTTAATACTGAGGATGTCAATCGTATACTCAGGATCCCTGTAAGTCCTGGTTAAGATGACTCATGGTATTGGCCTGGGAACCCTAATGGAATTTATACAGTAAAAAATGCCTACAGGAGTATTATGGGTAATTATGAGAATATGCCAGGAGGGTTTGATAGATGGACTAATATGTGGAAAATGAAGGTGTCCCCAAAATGGAAGACTTTTCTGTGGAGAGCAGTCTGTGATATCCTTCCTACCACTACTAATTTAATTATGAAGAAAGTGGATGTTGATCCTACATGCCAGATGTGTGGTTTAATGCATGAGAATGTTATGCATGCACTAGTTGTTTGTGACTATTCTAAACTTGCTTGGAATATTATAGGTTTACCTGTCACAAATATTGTTACAGATTCTTTCCCTGTCTGGCTAACGGCTGCACTTGCAATTTTGACAGAGGAACAGAGTGGTGTCTTGGTGGTGGTTCTATATCATTTATAGCGGAGCCGAAGCTCAGTCGTGTGGGAAAAAACACTCCCACACCCCGCCGGCCTATGGAGGAGGGCGATCGCAGCCATCAACTCGTACCGTCAAGCCAACCACCGCCCTCCGCTCTCAGTGCCGCACGAATCGGATTTAGGCATCCACGTCAGGCCAAGGTGTTATGTAGATGCTGGCTACCGGCACGCAACGGGGGAGGCAACCTACGGTATGGTGCTACTCTTGCCAGACGGACCATTTATGGCAGTGCGAAATGGTAGGCTGCCAACTTGTTTCTCACCATTTATGGCGGAAGCCTTAGCTTGTAAGGAGGCTTTATCCTGGTTGCTCGAGAGGAATATAATGGACGTGGATATACTTACCGATTGCTTGTAACTCCGGAATGCCATGCGCCAGGAATCAACAACTATAATGTCTTATGTTGGGGTCACAGTAGACCAATGCAGAACGTTGGTGGCTTCGTTTACTTATTGCTCATTAAGTTATGTTTCTGGACAGGTTAATTCACCTGCACATGTTTTAACTTCTTTAGCCTTTACTCAGGACCAGTTTATGTTATGAGATTCAATCCCTCCTGACTCTATTGCAGCTTTGATTCATTAATACAATCATTTATTGGTTGGCTTTCAAAACAAAAAAAAAAAAAAAAACAAACAAAAAAAAAATAAAAAACAAAAAACAAAAAAAAAAACAAAAAAACAAAAAAAAAAAAATCTCAAGGGAGGCATGAGATTTTAATTCCATGAAAATGAGGAAATTGCAATTCCTTCCAACCAAACTAAGGAATTTAGTGCCCTTTAGAATTAGGTGGGAATTAAGGGTGTGTTTGGTTCGCACATAGGAATAGGAATCGGAATCGGAATCGCAATGGGTATCAAATACTTGGTAATGGTAATGGATTTTGGTGAAAGTATTTAACATGTTTGGTAGTAGGGTGGAATGTGAATGGTTACTAAGAGTAGTGCTTGAGAATGAATAAGGGAATGAAACTCTTATTTTATTTGGATATGAGTTTTTCAATTGATGGGGTATTCATTCGAAACTCATAGGAATATTCTAAAAACCTATTAACCAAACAACAACAATCACTTTCATACTCATTCATATGGGCAAAACCCACCAACCAAATACACCATAAATGAGAATAAAATTTAAATTCTTTCTAACCAAACGCCCGGTTAATATTTTGAATTAATTTGAATTGGTGACCCACTCTTCCTCATCCGACAGTAGTAAAAATTCAATTAAATTCTAGATATGCAAAAATACACTATAAGGGGAGATTCAAAATAGAAAAGTGGTTACTAAGGCATTACAACACCAATTCAATTGAATTAATGATTTTTATTCAGTGGCGGATTTAGAAATTTTCTTCAGTGGGGACAAAAAATTAAAACTAGCGAGATATTTTTAAAAATGAAACACTTAAAGACCGAGTTATAAATATTGTTGACTAGAGATGAAAAATTAAAATACATCAAGATAAAAAAAATATTTAAAATAAAATATAAAACATAATTAATTAGATAAAATAGTTCGAATAATGAAAAACACATCATAAATCATTCATCTCACTATTAATATTAAAAAAGAGAAGAAGTCTCAATATTACAAATAAAAAATTCAATTAGTATTCTCACTATTAATATTAAAAAATGCCAAAAATAAAAAGTTCACTCATCTCACTATAAAATTCTATAGGATTCAAACCCTGGACCATGAAAGTGAGTTTACCATCTAAGCGAAACAAACTTTTAATTAAATTTTGGTATATATTATATATAATATATATATATCTCTCTCTCTCTCTCTCTCTCTCTCTATATATATATATATATATATATATATATATATATATATATATATATATATATATATATTGTTAGTGATAATGAACCAAAAATCGATTTAATATCGTAAAATAATATTTATATATACACACACGAAGTATATAAAATATTATTCGATATATTATATCCGAAATATATATATATACACACAAATATATATATAAATCAGACCGCCATGGTTATATGCATGAATATCTACGGAAAAGATATATACATATCAACCAAATGGAATTTATAATACACAGATTATAATTCCAACCAAACTATAACATTATAGGAGGATTTTTGCTTAGAAGCATAATCCAAAAACGAAAGAAGGAAAGATTGGCTCGTGTTTGGATAAGGGTTTTTAGCGTGAGTCAAGAGACCACTCTTTCCTTAAAACCTTATTTGCCACCTCCCAAAAGTGCTTGGAGCGCCGTGGCCTAGGTTTCCTAGGATAAAACGCACTACGGTTTGACGTTTGAGCACCCAAACGAACGAACCCGGCGAACTAGAGTAAAGCCTTGAACACAGTTCGGCTTAAGAAAGGAGTAGAAGCAGAGTTTTTGAGGAGAGAAAACACTTCTTGTGTTGTGTGTTCTTGTCACTATATGCTTGTAAAATCTGCTGCACTCTACCCCCTCCTTATATAGGGATTGAGGAGTGAATAGCCTTTATTATGGCATTTAGGGGCATCCCTACAACTTCTTGTAACATCCACCATAAACATGGGTGTTAATTCACAATTAAAATTGTCATTAACCCCATAACAGCTGGAATTAAATCCCAACAGTCACAAAAAGGACCTTTCTGGTTCGTGTATACTGTGTACAACTTCAGCCATCTTTGCAAAGTTTCGGCCAACTTGGCAATTGCAATTGCAAACTTTCCCAGCGTGGCCGAAACTTTGAACACTAATAACACGAATTTTCGTGGCTTTGTCAGAAAATGAATATCGAAGTTTTGGGATTTGATTTGCACTCTCCTTGCGCACAAGAGAGAGCCTCTATGCTATACAATTCAATAAGCTTAACAAGAGCTCATGTATAAATAGTGGGGCAAATCCTCTTCCCAAACCAATGTGGGACAAAAGTTC